TCTAAGTTGGCACTTCTGTTGACTAAGTTGACTTGTAAAGGTAGAGCTTTTGCATGGGATGTTAAGTGCGAAGAAAGTTTTACAGAATTGAAGAAGAGGTTGACGTCGGCTCCGATTTTGACGTTGCCTAATCCAGGAGAGCCTTTTGTGGTGTATTGTAATGCTTCTAAGATGGGTTTATAAGGTGTGCTTATGCAAAATGGTAAGGTAGTTGCTTATGCGTCAAGGAAGTTAAGGACTCATGAGAAGAACTATCCTACGCATGATTTAGAGCTTCCTGCAGTTGTCTTTGTGTTGAAGATTTGGAGGCATCATCTTTATGGTTCTAGATTTGAAGTGTTTAGTGAACATAAGAGTTTGAAGTATATTTTTCATCAGAAGGAGTTGAATATGAGGCAATGAAGATGGTTGGAATTGTTAAAGGATTATGATTTCGTTTTGAATTACCATCCAGGAAAAGCGAATGTGGTAGCTGATGCGTTGAGTCGAAAGACTTTACATATGTCGACAATGATGGTTAAAGAGTTGGAATTAATTGAGCTGTTTAGAGATATGAGCTTAGTTTTCGAGGTTACGTCGCGAAGTGTTATGTTAGGTATGTTGAAGATTAATAATGAATTTCTAGACAGTATCAGAGAAGTTCAGAAGTTGGATGTGAAACTGGTAGATTCGATGGTTAGAATCGATCAGTCTGAGAATGGTGATTTTAAGTTAGATGCGCAAGGCGTGTTAAGATTTCGTAACTGGATCTATAATCCTGATGATGCTGAGATGGAGAAAGTGATACTTGAAGAGAGTCATAGAAGTAAGCTGAGTATTCATCCAGGAGCTACAAAGATGTATCAAGATTTGAAAGGTTTGTTTTGGTGGCCTGCGATGAAGAGTGGTGTGGCTCGGTTTGTGTATGCATGTTTGACTTGCCAGAAGTCGAAAGTTGAGCATCATAAGCCAGCAGGGTTGATGCAACTGTTAGAAGTTCCAGAATGGAAATGGGATATCATTTCAATGGACTTTGTGACAGGGTTACCTAATACTTTAAGAGGGCATGATTCGATTTGGGTGATTGTTGATAGGCTTACGAAGTTGGCTCATTTTATTCCTATCAACATCAGTTTTCCAATGTCGAAGTTGGCTGAGATTTACACTAGTGTGATTGTGAAGCTGCATGGTGTTCCTTTGTGCATTGTGTCAGATAGAGATCCAAGATTTACTTTTGATTTTTGGAAGAGTTGGAAAGAAGCGTTGGGTTCTAAGTTAAGGTTGAGTTCAGCGTATCATCCTCAGACAGATGGTCAGACTGAACGGACTATTCAATCGTTGGAAGACTTATTTAGGGCATGTGTTCTTGAGCAGGGAGGTTCGTGGGATACTTATCTTCCGTTGATAGAGTTCACTTATAATAACAGTTACCATTCTAGTATTGGGATGGCACCTTTTGAAGCGTTGTATGGTCAAAGATGTAGAACTTCTTTATGTTGGCATGAATATGGTGAAAGTGTAGTACTTAGACCTGAACTTGTTCGTGAGACTACTGGGAAGGTGAAGTTGATTCGAGAAAAGATGAAAGCTTCCCAAAGTAGACAGAAGAGTTATCATGACAAGCGAAGGAAGGATTTAGAATTTCAAGCGGGTGACCATGTGTTTTTGAGAGTTACACCTGTGACTGGTGTTGGGCGAGCGTTGAAGTCTAAAAAGCTCACTTCTCGTTTTATTGGACCATATCAGATTTCGAAGAGAGTTGGGAATGTTGCTTATAGATTGGATTTACCGCCTAATCTTTTGAATTTTCATGATGTGTTTCATGTGTCGCAACTCCGGAAGTATATTTCAGATCCATCTCATGTGATTCATATGGACGATGTGCAAGTACGGGATAACCTTACTGTGGAGACAGTGCCTGTACGAATCACGGATCGTGAAATAAAGACTATGAGGGGCAAAGATATTGCTTTGGTTAAAGTGGTTTGGCTAGGAGCTGCAGTTGAAAGCATGACTTGGGAGTTGAAGAGCAAGATGTGAGACTCCTACCCTGAGTTGTTTGATTAAGGTAAATTTTCGAGGACGAAAATATTCTAAGTGGGGAAGAGTTGTAACATCTGTAATTTAATTAATTATTTAATTAAATTGTTTTTGGAATATTTGTGAAGTTGTGTTGTGATTAGTTGGAATTATTTATTTTATTAAGTGGTGAAATAATATTATGAGAAGGATGATATTATTTTGTTGTGGGCTCGTCTTAAAGGAATAGAAGAAATAAGGGGGTGTATTAGTTTTAAGCCCATTAAGGAATAAAGAGAATAATAGGTTATTTTATTATTGTTAGAAATAACAAGAAAGAAGAAGCAGTAAGAAGAATAAGGGTTTAAAAGGAAGAATGTGAAGCTGTTGGAATAGAGGAGAACGGCAGAACGGGAATTCAACCAGAAGTTATAGAAGGACCTTCAATCCAAGGTAAGGGTGGGGTTCTAACTCTATAATAGGGTTCATGATAATTGGTATGTGGGGTTAGAGTTGATTGTTGTCTTGTTCATGAATTGAATGTATATGAGGTTGTATGATGAAAAATCGATGAATTTTGGATGAATAATGATGTCCCGGTGTTGTTTAATTGATGTAGAATTATAGGATAATTGTAAGTCATGATTATCTATGATTATATTATGTTTTAGGGCTTAAGGTATGGAACCCGTAGTGATAACACAGAGAAAATAACAGAAAATACCCTTAGCAGAGCAGTATGTGTCGACCCCAAATGATATATGTCGATACCAGAATGTTGTTAGACTCAGTATGAGTCGACACGAAGAAGTCGTGTGTCGATACATGAGGGCTTTCAGACTCAGGATGAGTCGATACGTAGGAGCATGTGTCGATACATGTAGAGTTACAGACTCAGGATGAGTCGATATAAGGGAGGATGCGTCGACTCATGTTTCGAGTTCAGTTTAGTACGCGTCGACCCAAGGCGTTATGCATCGATCCATGTTGTCTAGTTTTTGGCAGAATCAGTTTGAGAATGCTATAACTTGAGTTTTCGGACTCCGTTTGAGGTGTCGTTCGAAGCTTTGAATAGCTAATGCGATGAACTTCGTTCTTAAGGATTAAAATGAAGAATAGGAAGGATAATCCTAGTATCCAAGTTAGGAATCAAATTAGTTCCCGCGTTGATCGTTATGTCGGTTTTTGTGAAGAATGATGAGGATGAAACATTTAGAGATTTCTGTGAAGTTGTAACAGTGGTATTAATGATGATGACGGTGTGGTATTACAGAATAGTAGTATGTAGAGGTTTGGTGATTTAGAAGTAAGCCTTAGTTGATTAACTAATTATAGGCAATATCTTGTTATAGGCCTATGGCCAACGTTGTGAAATTGATGAGTTACCATTGTATTACTGGACGACTGAGTTGTTGATGAGATGATGTTAATTAGAGTTTGTTTTGATGAATTATGATGTATAAATGATGTTTGACGATTTATGATGATAAATGATGTTGATGAAAAATATGTTGAGATGCTTTTAAGATGTAGGCTTTTGGCCAATGATGATGTTGTATTGAGATGTTGTCAATTATGGTGTTTTCATTACATTCATGATTGTGTCGCATACATTGCATTTTGAGATGGAGCTTATGCTCGTTGAGATGGCTTGTATTGGCGAATATTGAGATGAAGGCTTATGCCTTGTTGATGCCTCTATTAATTGGCAATTTTTGAGATGGGAGTTCTGGTCCAATGGTACCACATGCATTTACATAGTATTGAGTCGCATTATCTGATTGCATAAAGAGGTTGTGCATTGAAGTGGTATATGTGTATATTGTTGATATTTTGTTACGATGTTTGTTATTTGTAATATGAGAAGTGGTGATGTTATGTGATCTAATTTAATATATTAATTATCATACGCTTTATTATATTGTTAGATATCTCACCCCTTTTGTTTGAATGTTGCCCTGATGTTGGTAACGTGCAGGTAATCAAGAGTGAAGGTTGTATACCTTCAATAGTCTGAGTCGGTGTCATTGCTCTGATATGTAACACTCGGGGGGATGAACGCTTATTTCTTTTGATTGTTGATTATTCAGTTGTTGAACTTTAAGTTGATTATTATTAAGTATGTATTATTTTGAAGTTGCTGTAATGATGATAAATATGTTATTAAGAATTCTGCTGCGTAGATGTTTAAATTGTTGAATTATTTAATTAAAGTATTATGTTGATGGTTCATCCGAAGTTTTAAAGTGTTATATATCCATGATGAATGCAATGAGTTTTTAATGATGAATTTGTGGCATCCTGATTCGTTTGCGTGAATGATTTTATAACTCTGATTTATTTATAATTGTCGGGTAGAACTGGGGTGTTACACAATGTACCTTTCAGTGCAATACACCTGTTCTGCAGAAAGAAGTTTACATTCGGTGATATTACCTGTGGCTGAGTCCACTAACTGAATATGGCCCTGGAGATTTGGGATGCACTCTTTGAAAATCTTTTATGGAAGTTTCTATACATCATAGAAAACATTTACTCTAAATATATGCAATCATAATGACTCAATATGAGTTATATAATATTATGGGCGGTTTGATACAACTATCAATTCTAATATCTAATTGCTTCATACAATATAAAACTTACAGTATCCATAAACCCTATTACTCAAAAACAATCTGAGTGGTTTAATAGAATGGAATGATTTGCTACTTACCAAAACATTTTCTCGATGCCGTCTTTCCACATGAGATTTCCTTTTTCCACAAATAGTACCGGGGGCCACTGTTGTTCTCACCATCATCCTCGACTTCATCGCTGCTACATTATAACTCAACCATAACAATATTATTGAAAATGAAAACTTTCAATGTTTTAAAACATAATAAAAAACATATAACACTTTTCATATTTCATCACTTACCAATCACTATCAGAGCATATATTTGTGTATGTTAATCCGTTGGAATCTACGAATATATCTTTCGCCTTAAACTTGTGCTTCAAAACAACTGCTTCCCTTCGTTGAGACTTCTTTCCTGTACCCCCTTCTTAGGTATTATTGTTCCATGCAATTTTGTTTTATCAATAACAACAACATTCACAGTGTCTACATTTCTTTCAACTGTTTTCCTCTTTCGATCTTTAACTCTATCTGCAATACCACCGTTGTAAACAGATGATGGTGGTTTTTTCTCCCCAAATTAGTCACAAACATGGGATGTTTTACCGGCGCCTCATAACTCAACATCCAACTCAATTATATTATCTCCATTTATCACCAAATCTACACCTCCATGCCCCAACCCAACATAATGAACCAATGATCCACCGTCTTTTTGCGGTGTGATTTCATAAAAAACAACGGATGATCCTCCGTCTTTGACTTCATGGTGCGCAACAACTTTGCCCGTTGATAAATGTTTGCCCCGTTGTGCTTTTACCTTCGCCTTGATGTATCTTTTGACCTCCACAAGTTATTTACGATACATCATGTCAAGACGCTCTCTATTTCATTGCAACTCTTCCATAGATCTGCAACAACAAGATCTTACAACAAGTCAATACAATTTAGAATAAATGATTCAACTACAAAAACATGCAACATATTGTAAGCTGGTATCGATTTACCTTACTTCCTCATATGTCATAGGAGTCTTGCTTGCCATTTCCTTGTCTTGGATTAACTGACAAACCTGGTCAATGCTTCTTGCCTTTTCGTATAACCTTACGGGCTATATATAATTGGATTTCTTTTATAGATTTTTAACGGTCCATGTTTATTCCTGAACCAAATTTTTTAAATATAACATATACCCAGAATTGTTTTTCGTTTCAATCTACCATACTTACAAAACCAGTCATATTAAAACATGTTACATATGCCAACAAGCTTACCCATACAAAAATTAAAACTCATTTCTTCTATAAATTGAGTTCTAACAATGTCCCTATTAATCTTTTTTAATTATATTTTTCTATTAATAAAACACTTTAAAAATAATTTCTAATTCAATATATTTTTATTCATACAAAAATTTATAAGTTTCTATTCAAATTATGATTTATAAATAACTGTTAGTTTTATCCCACACGAAGAAAATAATTATCATTTTGTATTCACATTATTTTTTTATTATAAATATATGTTATTTGTAAACCATAACATCAAGTAGACAAATACAACTTCAATATGTAAACAAATTATTAAAAATCACCACTTTTATATTTGTTAGACACTAACTTGGACATCAAAATCCTGTTGTAAAACACAGTGATAGTAACTAAACAGACCATTGACAGCTAATACTGCAGAATACATTACTATAATATCATCATAACACTTACTAATACTTATAGTTTGCAAAATACATGGCTTATAATGATGCTTTTAACATTGTAGTCATAGAAGTTACATCCCCAACAAATAACCTGTCAAGAAACTTTTAACTCCTCAAATCCACGAGTCATTTTAACTATTATTTTAACATTTGTGGTCACAGAAATTACATCTTAAACGTGAAATAAACATAAACAAAATACAAACACAACCAATCCTTCTTTCAAATTATATAACCAACACAATTTGATTCAGCTTCTCTTCTTTGTCGGCTCAACATAAACCAATATTTCATCAACCGGCGGATATCAAATGCAAAAATAAAGAGTGTCTCCTTTCTTTAACTTTTGTTGTTTGGAAAACTCGTACGACCCAGTAGTAAGATACTTCTCGCCATTGTCGTCCTTTCTCACCTTTAATACACAGTTTTCAGAGATACCCTTGTCGGAGTATAACACAATCAAATTCACCGGTCCACTTAAGGACTTCTTAATGACATCACACGGTAATTGTTGCAAAACATATAGTGGAATTAACTTGAATTAACTTAAATTCAACCATACAAAAAATACATAAACTGATGCGACAATTATCTTCTATCACTTACCAACACATTCCTACGCACAACCTTAGCATTATGTACAACCATACTCCAGCTTTTTTCTTTTTCTTCCATATAGATTGGAGTATATAACCTACAAACAATCACCAAACCAGATATATTCAAAATTAATCTGACTTTGTTTGCCCCATACCTCTTATACATTACATATTTTCCTTCTAAACATACTTAAGTGCTTCGACATATAACACACTTTTGGCTTTTTCGCTACAATTACAATCTTCAAACAGACCCACATCATAAAAACAAATGCCCCAAAGTTTGTCGCTACAGTTTTCTTGCCATTCTCTATAACTCTACTAAAAATACCTACCTAAATTAACTCACTACTCAACAGTTACATCACTTCCAATAGAAACCTTGTATAAATTTTACAAATTCACAGCTTATTAACACAAATGAACAACAATAATATATTCAGATCATTTTGCAACACTAACTTTTACTGATACATTACATAAATCATAAATTTTTGTTTCACAACAAACCAAGCACAATAACAATATATACAAACTCTACTTATAAAATTATACATACCTCGATCTATCACAGCGTGCTTCCAAACCTGATGATCCATCTACACAATCACCTGCGGATTTCTTTGCCTTATTTTTTGCCTTCCATGGTTGAGATCCATCTTTTGCATGCACCTTCCTTTTACCCTGAACAACTCTGCGTGCAACAGATCCTTCATCCGATCATACATCAGATTTTATGCTTTGCCACTTTCCTATCCATTCAATTAGTGATAGCCGCTTCTGCATAGCCACTGAAATTTCCTACCGCCTGCTCAATTGTTTCAACACACATGCATGTTGTTTTAGGAGTTTCAGAATCTCCTCAACTACCATTTGGGTTTCCCAGTTATTAATCCACTGACCCACACCATCAACCTTCTCTGCCACAAGACGATTATCCCTCTCTCTACTGAATCTTTACCATGGATTTTTTGTAGCCAACTCTTCAACGGATCTGCAGAGAACAACCATGAAAACAACGATTCGGGTAACAACATATATCATAATCAATCTGATACATATTTGAAGATGAAGATAAACCATACCTTTGAGGAATCATAAAAGGAGACAGCATCGACATTGTCATTTTTGACAAACGATTGTCTTTGTATAGGCAATACTATAGGAACCACTACACTCCCTCTATGCCACAACATATATACCTCATTTCTTCTTCCAATTTACCATACATATATTTCTTTTTTTATATTTCTATTTTGATTTTAACCCATTCTTTTAGAATATATCAATAAATTTCTATAAACCAAATCTTTTTTTCATTTTACTTAAAAACAAATAATATCTTATAACTATATATATTATATATAATTATATTTTTCTATGAAATAATATCAACATTGAACAAAAAAGAGAGGGTCAGAATGGGTACCCGTGCGAAGGCACGAGTATCACACTAGTTAGTTATGATAATCATTTTAACACAAATTTCTCCCTAAAAACCTCTTCATATTAAAATCTAACTTTATCAAAACCTACTTCATATTCTTCATCTTACCAGAAGGATTCACATCTTCTGAAAGCTAAACACATGATACAAAAACACAAGACACATAATACAAAATAAAACAAGCTCACAAAGATAACAAAATAAAATAAATAATGATTGCCATGAGATATAGAAGAAAGGAAGAAACCAATTGAGTATTGATTTACCTTTGCTGAGAAAAATAAAGTTGGAATTGAAAAGCGGTTAAACCTAATGGGTGTGTTTAATGGGCTTCTAAAATTACCGAGTCCATCCGAGTATGAAAATACTAAAGAAAATAATCATATCCCGATCAGGTTCGGTTATCATTGGATTGAATATGTTCAACTGAACCAAACTCCCACTACCCATGAAAGACCAAACAGACCACCCGCTGGACCCGAGAACCCAAATTTGACCCGACCTTTCGGTTTTCATGGGCCGGGTAGATAGGGTCGATTGAAAGATTTTTGTCCACCCCTAGGTACCCTCACAATTCAATAATAGTTTGTTACAAAGTTATCCATCTTAATTAATTTGTTTCATTTAATGACAAAATATATAAATAGTAAAGGAATAAGATCAAGTCCCAGGTAAGAACCCCATTAATAACCTTCAAATCTCACCCACTAACCCTTATGGTTGGAGAGAATTGAAGAACTGGCCAGGAAACTTAGACATCAATGAGACACTCCCTAATCAAGGATCTTTCCCAAAGTAAGTGTGCTAACCCGAACCTATTTTTCTAGCAATACCATCAGAGTAACAATCAGAGCTACAATCTTCTCTTAACCCAAGGAGAGATGTCTCTTTCCACTAGGACAAAACAGAGCGAAAAAAACCCTAGTCCTAGATCCAATATGAGAGGATATAAAGATACCTCCATACCTAGATATGAGAATATCCCTCCATAGCCCAGGATCCCCTACAAGCAACCACCATTTACATTTAGCCAGAAGAGCAATGTTAACCAGTCGAAGATCTCTCACTCCTAACCTCCATGTACTTTTAAGTTTACAAACATCTTTCCAATTCACCAAAAGAATCTTAGATAAATTCTTCAATACTCAAAGAAATCTTCTTTAGACATGATATTATTCCAAACCATGATAGAAAACTTCAACAAGGACAAGAAAAAGATATGAATAACATTAAGTACTAAATTAAGAAGGACCACTCTACCCCCCAGACTCATAAATTTATTCTTCCAAAAGTTGAGTCTTTTTTCCATCAAGTCAACCAAAGGATTCCAAGTAGACTCAAGACGAGGATTAGCCCCCATTGGCAGCCTAAGATACTTAAAATGGATATAGGTTATCTTGTAGTGAAGAAAATCCTAGGTTGAGGTAAGAAAGACATGATCTACATTAACTACTACGAAATATACATTTCGTAACTGTTAGCCTGAAAATTCTAGTTAAAGGATTCGACAAGGAATAATATTAGTAGAAAAATGACTAAGTATGAACACTCTCAGTATTTATCACACTGCTTACGTCGACTAAGAGGGTTCGACTAACATGGTAGGTGAGGTTTAAAATAGTCTCAGGAACATATCCATACGATTAAGATCATCCTCTCTTTAAAACATGTCCAGAATCTCGAAAAGGGTTACACAAAGCAAACCTTTGACAAAGTGTCAAGTTCGACACATTAACCAGATGTTAGGGACTTGACATATTTGCAGTCTAATAGTCATATAAACCAAAGATTTCTTGACAACTCTATGTAAATAAGTTAGAAACTCTTGACAGAGGAAATTAGGAGGTTTTCAAGGTAGTTATCAGAATGATATTAGGTTTTCAGTTGTTTAAATCTGAAGATGCGTGGAAGCAAATCAAGAGTTTGAAGCCCACATTGTGGGATACATGTCAAGTTATGTAGATATAATTGTTGTCGACTGTTAAAATTGTATTAGTATATAAATTGACCTCAATGTTGTGGTTGGTGGTCGCAAAAATATTATTTATTCTCTATAGAACTAAAGTACCCAAGTTATAGAGCGAAACAATTTGTGAGAAATTTATGAGTCTGCGCCCACTCTTTTTTCTCTTTAATTCTTTTATATTTAAAACATTTACTTTAAATGTCATATACTTTATTTATTGTCTATTATCTGTATCCAAAACTTATTGCTTACGTCCATTTCTTACTATTCAAACATTTAAATATAAATCACAAACACTTTTCATTGTATCTTTTCTATGCACAAATTGACCTTGAGATTTTTCGAGTTAATCTCCTAAGTGAACTAAACTCGTGTTGTTAACTAAAAAACCGGTAAACAAATTGGCACGCCCAATGAGACTCTTTTGTGAAAAAATCTTAACTTCTGCAAAAGGTGTTGTGTTCATTATTTTATTTATTTGTGTTCTTCATATACGAAATATTGTCAGTCGTCAGGTGTTTATGCGTCTGAGGAGTGGTAAAACTCTTCCAGAAATGACTCTTCCAACATTAAAAAATCAAAATCTCCCTCTTAGGAGCAATTATTCCAATGTATAAGAACAACCAGTTGGTGTGATCGTTGGAGAAAACCCTACTGTTATAAGCCATACATTAACATTGACGATACCACCAGAAGTGGCACTATCACCATCGCAAGTAACAAGTATCCCAACTACTCCCAAGGGTACACAAGTAGTAATGGGAGATCCTAGGACATCTTTTCCCATAAGTTTTACAATGCTCATGTCAGTAAGGATTATCCATATATGCCAAGAACGATGAAGGTAGGCCTCCAATCTAGTGCATCTATGTATTCAAATAATGAAATGGTTATTGCATTCACTATCAATCAATACTTAACGCCATGGACTTCCATAAACAACCCCGGTCGAATGGCACATCCACAAGGAGTATTAAGACATGCCCCTCAAGGTATGCCATCCTTGACCACTACTTCTCTATTGTCTATGAGACAAAAAATGGATGATATTAAAATATAACTTATTATCATTATTATTATTATTATTATTATTATTATTATTATTATTATTATTATTATTATTAGAATATGATATATTATTAGTCAACTTCTATCTTTAGTAATATCTTTATGTAAATTAAATATTCTTTTTTATTGTAGAGTTAATATGATTCAACACTGATGTATATACACACATCTGATATATGAAAAAGACATGAATCATATTATTATGTTATGGTATCAAGAGAAGGTTTAGATTCCTAAACAACTACTCTTCTTTCCACCGGCCCTAACCCCTCTAATTACCATGGCCGACATTACTCCACCTCCTTCTCCCAAATCCACAAAAGCTGATACCCCAACCACCATTTGTCTCATTCATCTGCACTCACTGTTTCTAATATCATAAACTTCATCAAAGTCACCCTTGACATTGAGAAAATCCAATACAACACATGGTCTCAACTGTTTAAAATACATGCCCAAGCATACGAAGTTGTTGACCACATCATCCCCCCATCACTAATTGATTCCACTTCTTTACCCTCTCTCAAAGAAACTGATCCATCCCTATGGAAACACCTCGATTCCATTGTTTTGCAATGGATTTATGGAACTATATCCATCAATCTTCTGCATACAATTATTGAACGTGACTCCACCGCTCAACTTACCCGGGATCTCCTATTTGACATATTGTTTATAAAAAAAATTCAAGAGCTCTCTACCTAGAGAAAGACTTTTCTAGAGTTAGCATGGAACAATTTTCTGATGCCTCATCATACTTCCAACACATCAAGCCTCTTTCCGACCAACTCTCCAATGTTGGTGCACCTGTTTCCAATGAACGTATGGTGCTTCAACTTGTCTATGGTCTCTCTGATGATTATGCTATTTTTCGGTCTCAAATACGTCATTTTATGAGCCTTTGTCGTCTACCTTATTACCCTTTGATATTGTGCACATTGATATATGGACATCACCAACTCTTAGTTTCGGTGGTCATCGCTATTACATTTTATTTCTTGATGATTTTACAAACTTTTTATGGACCTTTCTTCTAGCAAATAAATCGCAAGCTCACTCCATTTTTTTACAATTTCGTAATCACATTAAAACACTGTTTGAAAAAGATATTAAATTTTTTCAATGTGACGACGGAAAGGAATATGACACCTCTCTTTTTCATCAATTTTGTAAGCAAAACGGAATGATATTCCGATTTTCATGTCCTCGCACATCACCTCAAAATGGAAAAGCCGAGCAAAAAATTCGTACTATCAATAATATCATTCACACTCTGCTTGCTCATGCATCAACGCCGCCTTCTTTTTGACATCATGCACTTAAAATGGCTACTTATCTCTTAAACATCCTACCCAACAAAAAACTAGCTCTTCAAACACTAACCACAATTCTTTACCAAAAATCTTCATCCTACTCTCATCTTAAAGTTTTTGGTTGTTTATGTTTTATCCCTATCCCCTCTACTACAAGAAATAAACTTCAAGAAAGATCCATACCATGTATAATTTTAGGGTATCCATCCAATCATAGAGGTTACAAATGTTTTGAGCTTTCAAGTAGTAAAATCATCATTTTTAGGCACGTCACATTTGACGAAAATATTTTTCCTTTCTCAAATTACAATGCTCCCGAACCTACTATAATT